GAGACACTTTGAGTTTGAACTTGATTACCAGGCTCAGTCCGAATGGATTGAGCTGGTAGAAAAGAAGGAACAGTTCTTTCAGTACGTGGATGCTTCGGAGCAGTAACAGTGGCACCACGTATTTCTAAGTCATGCTCACGTCTTCGAGCATATTCAACGGTTTTATCGAATAACAGAACTTCTCGATTGGCAACGAAATCGTGGATTTCGTGTCGTAGTCCCTCCATGAATAACTGAATTTTCTCGTCTTCAGTTGGAATATACTTTGTAGCAAACCTTGCTCTTTGATTAAACTGAGTTTCATACTCATTCACAGTCATTCCTCTTTGTTTAAGCTCGAGGAATTCCTTCTCCAATCTCCTCCTCATGTCTAGAGGACAATACTTCTCTAGCAAACGAGTTTTAAACATTTCCCAAGCTAAATTCTCCTGGTCAAACCCGTTGAGAGCTTCATATGTTGCTTCCCACCAGACCAATGTTTCTCCGATGAGCATTGCAGAAGCATAGTTAGCCTTGTCTTCATTATCCATATGAGAAATACAAAACACTTTCTTTGTGTTCTGGATCCAAGTAAGAACAATAATGGGATTGAGAACACCGGAAAACTCTGTAGCACCACTACTCTTGAAATATTTGAACGAGAGACGCTTCACCTCTCCTTTTGAAGATTCTCCAGTGGCTTTCTCTTTTCCTTTATCACCATTCTTTTTGTGTTCTTCAAGAGTCTGTCGAATAACACCGATAAGTTTACCTAAGAGTCGCTCCTCACGAGGAGATACCAGAGTATTCACTTCCTCGGGTTGAGGACCTCCACCAACCTCAGGGGTATGGCTACTAACCTGTTCAGCCATTGCTCTGCAATACGGAGTGACATTGTATTTTAGAATATTAGGGTTTATTATTACCTAATACTTTTACTTATATATTTCCTATGGTTTGTATCCCTATACTTACAATGATTAAGTTCATATATTGAACTTCCAATAGTTTAAGTCTAAATACCAATCCGTGGAATTTAGTTCACTCAAACTACTGCTCTGATACCATGATTGAAAGACCCTAACTTTCGTATTTATGAAGGACCCAAACTTTCATACTTGACAATATAGTTACTCCAAAACATGCTACTTGCATATTCATAAAACCAATATTTTACATTGATAAAGAGATTACAAACTACTGGATACAAACCGACTATTTTAAAGTGTTATATATTACATAACTTCCCAGGATTCTATAGTTTTATACATATGGGAGTGCAAAATACAATAGTTTCAAACTATTCATAAGCTTCTATCGATACAATAGTTTCAAACTATTCAAAAATCTTCTACCAGTATATAACTATACTGGGTGTTTATCTCCTGCAATTTGTTAAACATCGAGAGGGTAAGTGGTGACGCTTAGTGAGTTCAGTAATATATAAAATATAACGTCATGCCATATATATACCTTAATAGGGCAGAAGCAAAGAGGAACAAGGAACAACAAGGGCATATGTGAATCATGTGACAAACATTCCATATCAATCATTGATTTGAATTAAAGATACACAATCAATGAGACATAACAAATTCCATGCTTGATATACATCAATAAAGCTTTGGCCCAAACGGTACAGAATATATACAACTTCGGATTAACATTTTGGTAGATTTCAGGCTTATAGCCCTGTCTAACCTTCTGCCACTACCATAGAATAGAATTCATTCTCTTACGGAGATATGTTCCACATGGCCAGAGGCTACATACCAGTACCAACGTGAATCTAAGTCCTTTCACTGATCACATGGTCAAAGGTATTTCTTTGCTATATAAAAATAGCAAATAAAAATAAGCCAGGAAAATAACCCGGAATAATAACACTAAAAAGCACGTAGCACATATAACACATAACATATAATTATTTCTATATATTAAACTCACCGTGAAATAATCGGGGGCTAAAATATTAATTTGGGCAGTACTTCGGCTCTAAATATGACTTTCGTCGTTGAAAACCGGGCTCTGCGAAGGTAGACCTTCGAAACCGAAAAGATAAAATTTCCGGGCTTCTCGGGAGTCTCGGGGCGTGTTTCGGGCTTTAGAATCAGTACCGGGGCTTCGGGGGATGTCGGGATAGTAAAAATATTGAAAAAGGGGGTGAAAGTGGAAATTTTCTAAAACTAGCCGAGAGGGCTCGCACCCCTTATATAGGGTCGAGCTTCGGATCTGAAGCGAAGGGAAGGAGGCACGCGTCTGCGAGGTTCGGACCAGGTGGCAGCTTCGGCGAGGCTCGGATGCGAGGAGTCATCAGCTTCAGGCCCGTCATCGGCTCGGTCTTCAGCTCGGAACAACAGGCTCGCTGACGGCAGCCTCAGATTGGACCTAACTTCGGTCCAATGGGAGGAGGGCATGAGGGTGCGAGGGCGATCCGGGGGTGTCTCCTGCGACGGTGTCCCTCGCTTAGTGGACCTCGGATTTGGTCTGATTAGAAGGTAACACGCAAGGCTGCGGTCCAATTAGCAGCGAACACGTGTCCGACACGTGGAAGCCTCGCATACGAGGGTGACGTGGCAGTACTATTCATGCGAATTTTCTCGAAAAATGTGCCAAATCTTGTAAAATCCATAACTCTCGCATAGGAGCTCTGTTTTTGACGTTCTTTATATGCACGCGAAGCTAAAATTATGCTCTACAACTTTCGTTTAGACTTCGTCAGCTAATTCTGAGTGTAATTTTAATATTATTATTTTTAACAGACCGAGACAGGAAAATCCGTTAAAAATTCATAACTTCTTCATCCGACATCCGTTTTTGTTAGAATTTTTACCGTTGTACTACATATGACGAGACCTTCGATTCTTGTTTAGGATGTATCGGTAAAATATCGCTCGATCTAAAATTCGAGTTTTTAGCTGTCTACTGCTAAGTTGAAACTTCGAAAAATCATAACTTCCTCATACGAAGTCAGATTTTGGCGTTCTTCTTATCGAGTTTCTGGATTTAACGAGTACTACGACTTTCATTTATATTAATAAGGCTAAAAAGTAGTTTATCAAAAACTCACTTTTTACGTCATTTGGCGCCGTGCCGGTTTTGTCGCGGATCTTCGGTTGGTCATAACTACTTCGTTATAACTCGGATTTTGACAAGGTTTTCGCCTATGAATTTCTAACGAGATTTTCTACAACATCAAATAATAAAATTTTACTTATTTAAAATTTCATATTTACGCTAAATTTCACTATTTGACTTTTAATTGGAATCTCATAAGACTTCCAATATTTTCTGAGTGATTGTAAACATAGTTTTACTTCATTTCTAGTAAAAAAATCATCTGTTAGAACTCAACACTCAATTTTACAGAATATTTCACAATTTTATTTACTTATAACACGATTTCAAAACGTATATGTTACAGTGCGGTAGTCCAAGATACCCGGTGCAGGCTAGCTGTTAGCCGTAGACATGAAGGCTCGGGAGGAGCAGTAGGGTTGAGGCGGTAGACCAACAAACCTTGGGTATTCCAACCTGAAGGTTAATTGGACCCGACATATTGGTATTCCAGCCCAAGGCTTATTGGGCCAATATGCTTATTATACGAGGGTATTCCATCCCGATGATGACTGGACCCATCATGGACATGTCTGATATTCCAGCCCGAGGCTGATTGGGCCATACATGAGTATTTGTGTTTATGCTTGTATTTCGTGGTGGTGTTTCGGAGGAAACACACTAAACCTTGTGCTTACAGTTTTGTTTAAGGTTTCAGGTTCTTCTGATGATTAGAGTGGCAAGACGAATGCGTGACCGTACGCATCCTTGATTTTACAACAAATGAGATATTGGGAAACTCTGATTTTCAAATAATGTTTGAGAACACTATTTTTGTAAACATTTTATTAGAAAATCATCGTTTTGAAAAGTTTAAATTTGTTGAAATTTCCGGGATGTTATAGACATATTTCATTCAAAACTTAAAATTCGTAGAAGAGAATATATTGTTGTCTAAGTCGATTAGACTCAATTTTAGATTATTTTAATAATGTAAGGCAACATTATGTGCAACTTAAAATAAACAATTTAGTTAATATCTATATATAGTTACATTTAGTTATTGTTTGAAGATTTTTTCACTCGTTCACATTTTGTATATTATTTGGCCTATCATAAAACAAAATTCTAGCTACGCCACTGCATGGTATGCAATAATTCAAAAAAACACAATTACAACTTACATCGTATAACACAAAACTTGCTATACCTCAAGTGTTGTCACCATATCATCTTCTTCCCAAGTCCGAACCCAAGTGTGGAAGCTCCAAATATAATAAAAGTATCAAAAATGGTAACCAACGTGGGGTTTGTCATAAATTCTATTCTTTTATCACACTAAACATTTGAAGCAAACCTAACCCAAGTCACCAAAGGCACCCAAAGCTAAACAATTATAATTCTTTCAATCACCACATCTTCTATTTTATCATATGCTTATTCTTTATTCTTTCATCATACGTTTCTGTTTTTGGTAGTTTCCAATTTGAACCCTTTTGCTTTTGCATAAATGCTCCATTTTTTTTTGGATTTATGATGAAATATTGATAGGTATTAAAGTTTTAGGTTGCCATTGGAGAGATGGTGAAGTTGCAATGAATGGATGTATTACATCCACACTGAACAGAGTTCTCATGGCTAGTTCTTTTTCCAACAAGTTTTTATTTAATTTATACATAGGATATTTATATTTATATTCCATCATTACTTATTATATCTTATCCATAAAAACGAATGGTGGGTGTTAGATTATTGTTCTATTTTAAAAAATTTATATTTTTCTTGATGATATTCATATTTTTATTTACCTTTCGGTTGGAGATAACTACAATTTAAATATATCTCCCTAAACAAGATCAGTTTATTAACATCCACATAAAGTACATGGAAGAAAGAAAAAAACAAAGCTCCTCGAAGCTTTATACACTTATTTTCGAGGTGATAAATCATAAGAAATTAAAGAACTACTTATTACTAGGTTTATCGAGCTTCTCATATGATTTCCTTGAGACCTGCATACCACGTGTCATTCCCGTAAGACTGTACTGTAGTACGTAATATATAATGAGTATAACTTACTCTTTGACTTACCTTATATGACGATGGCGAGTTGCTGATGTGGCCCGGAGAATTTGGTGTAGACTTTGTAGGTGAAGTATATGATGTTGTGTTTTTGAAGGGTGACTTGATAAATGGTGAAATAGGCGAAGTTATTGCAGAAGTTTGATGATGTGAAGAAATTGGTGATGATTGAAGTGGAGATGACACAAAAGTTTTCCAATCATAATTAGATGCTGATGCTGCCCCCGATCTTAATGATGATGGAAGTATGTTGATTTTCATTCTGAAGATAATTAGAAAAAATTAATAAAACCAAACATTAAACATTAATGTGTTGCGTCTATGTTGATTTTAATTAAAATACAATATGTATATGCAAAATGGTTATTTTCATGTTATTACAAGGAGTCCAAGAAGTATGTCAATCAAATAATACACTTTAAGCATTTGATTATTTTAGGAATTTTTTAGAGTACCCTAGACAAATATAAAATTAAATGTTTGGAGAGTGGATGTAATCGGGTGGATTGAATATTTAAGAGATTTGTCACTTTGGTTGTACTAATTTATAATAAGGATTTTCTTTCTACATACCACTCTATTATATATGAAGGCTTAAGTCAATGTGTTTCAAGTTAATAACAAATGTATTGATCAAAAGACTTACATGTTGTCTACATCCACGTATTCATTCCTTTCATCCAGTATAGGTTCCTTCATATTTACAATAATAAACGAAAATAAAATAAAATTTCATCAAGTATTTGAATTAATAGCAATAAACGACAAATTCAACGGTAGTACTATATATAATATTATAATAGCTAATTAACCTGTAGAAGTTCTTCGAGAACATCTTCCATTGTTATAAGACCGATAATTTCTTCATCTGGGTTTGTAAAAGAGTCTAAGACACGTGCACTATTTTGATCCGGTGCTGGATTTTGGGATGCTGGATCACTTGAAGATCTGTAAATGCTCACTTTCGTATTCTGACCTGTGACACGATTTGGAAATTATTATTAATTAATTATTATTTTATAATTATATATAATAAGTTAATAATAGAGTGTCTAATATATACGACGACATTAAGATAAAAAAGACCTTTTTTTTCTACTTTAATTTGAGTTAGAAGTTGGCTTGAAGAATTGTTATGTGTACTTGGAGCACTTTTACTCTTTACAACAACTGCCATGTGGCTTTGTCCCTTCTGGAACAAATTTAACATCTCATACAGTGGTAAACATTCAGGAATCCTGTCGAATAAATGTAAAACAAACATATCAGTTGATAACGAATTGCTTTTTGTTTAGTAAAAAGTAAAATGTAATTTTATAGTTTCTTTTTTATTATCTTTTTTTATTTTTATTTTTCACCAATGAGCGTTAAAAAAATAGATTGTCATTTGTGCTATTAATTGATGAAGTGGTGTGCAATTAAATGTCTAATCATATAATACTCGTAGTTTTAATTATCCCGAAAACAAAACCAAAGAGATTTATCTCATCAAAAAGTAAGAAATTTTACCTTGGAATTTTCCGGACACTAAGATTCTTAATTGGAACTTCATCTTCAGGTCGGAATTTAATTAGGCTTTTTACCAAAATAAGGCCAATTATATTTTCTGGTCTTCCTAAATATACAGGAACACGGCTATGCCCTTTGCTTAATAATAAACTCATAGTGTCTCTGAGAAATTAAAATATGCCAACATTAATTATATATGGAGAGGAAAAAGAAACAATTAATTTAAAGAAATAGAAATTATATGTATACTCATTGAGTTTAGAATAGAGTTCGAGAGAAAATATTTCGGATATTGGTGTCATAGCATCTTTGACGGTTTTTTGTGCTAAATCAAGAGCTCCGGTTATGATAGTAATTTCATCATGTGTTAATTCTCCACCTTTCCCCGCCTAAATATAATAATAATTTTTATTTTGTTAATTAATTTATCATATATTATATATTCGAATTTGATTGGATATATATAAATCGCACCTCATTTCCATGCATATCTACCAATGTTTTAAGCTCTGCGCGTCGTAAAAGCATGGAATGTCCTTTACCAAGGATCAAGTCTAAAAGCTGAAAATATTTAATAAAAAAACCTTATTTTAAATTAGGTTTTCATGCATGCATGCATGCAACTAATTCGATTTACTATATTTATTGGTCACTTAAGGCTTAATTATATCTCTATTGTCCAATGTTATTTTCTTGTATCTATGTGTACAATTTGATTCTTGTGTATTTTTTTTATCATATTTTGTAGCCTATACTCGATTTCTTGTAGCATATAAATAATTAAGAATTAAGCGAAATCTATACCTTGCTGAGAGGATAAGCTATGGGGAAGACAACTATGATAAGAAACCGAACTATGCACGAAAGCTTTGCACCAATAGCTAGTCCATATCGTGAACACACAGCTTGAGGTATAATCTAGTGAGGAAAGCAACATAATAACATTAATTACACACGTACATAAGATAATTATAATGATCAAAACATTGATGGAAATTAAAAAAAAAAAATCATCAAGAATTATACCTCACCAAAAGCAACCACAAGAGTGACTGATATCAATATCGCAGTCCAAGGCATGAGAATCGAGTCAAGGAAAATTGGCAAAGCCTTGTATAATGTATGGAGACTTGATTAATTTTTGATCGATTTTAAACGTATGAAAATCTTGACATACAATAAAATTGAAGTAAATAAATACCATACCTCCATTGCTATGGCATTGCATATGAGAAGCGTACATAGGAGTAGGTGTTGATTCTTCACTATTGGCATAATCTTTTCTGTAAAATCATATATACATACATAACATTGGAAAACTTATATAATTAAGAGTCAAATTTTGTAAATGATCAAAGTAAAAAAAAACAAAATTAATTAATTAAGCAATTACCTGCATTCTTGCGATCATTAGGTTGACCAGCTTTGATGAGCACCTCAAGGTCAAGAAGGCTAAGAGACATTAAACCAAGGGTTAAACCCGACATGAGTCCAGCAAAAATAACCAATGCAACTGATGAAGCTAAATACACCCAAAACATAGTTTCACAACATGGCGCATCATTTGCTACCATATTTTTTACTGATGTTTTAATTCTAGCTAGTGAAATCAAAAGGATGATACGAGAATTAATTAGAGGATTAGGGTTTATATAGACTAGAAATTAAAGGTCGTATTAATTATTCTGGCCATTGAGGGTACGGAAAGTCAGGAAGGGGAAGAAATAATAGAATTAAAAAAAGTTCAAGAACATAGAAAAACAAAATTCAAGAGCACATAAAGATGTTATTGAATAAAAAGGGCAAATGGTTTCATTCTCTCAACTACTCCATTCAGATTTCACCATTTTTATAAATGAGCAAAACTAATCTCTAGTTGTGTTGCAGTTGGAGAGTGATATAAAAAGTAGATAAAATTTTGGATAATTTATGATCTAATTACATTCATGCATGTTCATATCAGCATTTATGTATTTGTCTTTTATAACAAATTTGTGTTAGCCATAAGTAGAATGGAATTTGGAACAAGTGCAAGTATAGTCATCAACGACGACCTAACTGAAAGGAATAAAACATTCAGATGTTTGATCCGTGTAAAGTGAAAACTGAGATTACAAAATCAACATAGAATCGATATAATCAACACATCCCATGAACGAAAGGAAATATGAACATAATTTATGATGTAAGATTAAGAACTGTATCTGCCAATGGATTTAATTTGTTGCCATTTGAAACTCCATTGCTGGAGTTCGTGATGTCTCATCGGAAATTCCCGAGCCTTTCCAATACGTTTTAACTTTCAAGTGAGATCTTGAGGGGGAAACGGGTTAAGTACTTTATGGCTCCTTGGTTTCTTTATTTTGAAATATTTTTAGTTCTAAACCAAATTCGAGGCTAGACCTACCAAACCAAAAACCGAATTACAATTCGGTTTGGTTTGATCAAAACATTACAATATCATAACTTAAACCGTAAGCCAAATTAATACAGTAATTCGGTTTGATTTATAATCAAAGTAAAATCCAAATTAAAGTTTGATTTGGTGCAAATGCAGTTTCAATTTAGTTGGATTTTTAGTTTTCTCGTTCGAAACCAAATACTCCCTAGTCCCTAATCTTAAGGTTATGTTTGGCACGCCACAGCTAGCTGATAAGCTAGTTTATTTTTTGAACTTTTTTACGTTGTTGTGTTTGGTAAATCAAAAAGTAGTTTATAAACTAACTTTTTGAAAAACTACTTAGACTAACATTTTAAGAGCTTTTTGAAAAAATTTCAAATACATCCTTTAATTAATTATAGAAACATATATTCTTACATGTTCTATTATATAGTTTTATATATTTCAGCTACTTTTACTAAACATTATTTTATATTAACTAGCTTTTTAGCTATCAACTAGCTTGTTATTTAACAATTAGTTTTTCAACTAACTGCCAATTTTTCATTTAGTACGTCAAACATAGCCTAAGTTGATCATTGTTTTAATTTATAGACCATAACATTTTCAATACTTTTTTTTTTCTTTACTAACTTAAAGCATAATTATTAAATATAAAATTTAAAGTTATTTGCGAGTTTTTTTTTTTTTTTTTTTTTTTTTTTTTTTTTTTTTTTTTTTTTTTGCAAAAATAGTGTTGTTTTGGAAATCATTTACACAAGTAGGGCTGTTTGATTTTTTGCAAAGATTGTGCTGTTTTGGAAATCATTTGTAGAAATAGCGCTGTATGAGATTGTTTTGTACAAATAGGGCTATTGGCCCATATATTCAGTTTGATTATTTAAGAATATTACAGATGGTCCTTATAATGTTACATTTTCAATCATCTATCTTATATAATAGACATGATTCTTTTTTATTTAGAGTTTTAACCATTTATCTTATATAATATGATTAAATGAGTTTAAAATTTATTATTGGTCTTTTTTTTTCTATCTTTATTAAATTTTAATATATAATTTTAATTATTAGAAATATATTATAAAATTTTATATATTAATTTTAATAATTTATACCATCAAAAAATCTAAATAATGCATTCAATAATATATATATATATATATATATATATATATATATATATATATATATATATATATATATATATATATATATATATATATATATATAACTTTTAGTTTGAATTGTCAAATCAATTTTAAATCTATAAAAACAAATAAAATAATAAAAACAATAATGGTACTATTCATGTGAAAACTCTTAAAAAGGATATGCATGAATTTTCATATCATTACTTTTATTTGAATACTTTCAGAGTTTGATGTTATAAATTCGATCATTTGAGCTAAGTTTTTTTTTCATTCTTATTCCAATATTTTGCTCTCTACTCATATTTGCATTCTCAATTCTCTCATATTTCTATTGAATTTACATCATTAGGTTTATCATGACTCTGACATAAGGTATGTATTTCTTTTCTAACCATCATGTATATATTTCATGTGAAACATTAGATATGGGATATTTATTGCATTTTTATACTCTTATTTATTTTGCAGTTACATTCACATATATTTGTTATTATGACATCTACAAATACTAGTTTTGTCGATCTCTTTCGTAATGTTGAGGTAAGATTTTCTTCGCCAAATAATGATAGATTTGAAATAAATAATAACTTTGAATTTGATAATCCAAACTCTGACTGTAGTAGTGAGTCATTAAGTAATTTTGAGGAAGATTCTAATGTTGTGAGTGAGACTCTGATTGTGAACTTTATGAATGATTTTGGAAATCTAAAAGATGGAGACATAGTAGATTTGGATGACAACATTCATATAGATCTATAGAATGAATCTGAAAACAAAATTAGGCTTCGAATGCAATTTAAAAGTAAGTTGATAGTGAAAAAAATAGTAACACGTTGGTTTATCGCCCAATATAGAGAGTATAAAGTGTATGAAATTAAGAATAACAAATGGGTAGCAAAATGTAAGACTATATGGGATGAAGGGGAAAGCTCTAACTCTATGCAACATACACCACCCCGTCAATGGTAAATTTGTGTAATTAAGAAAAAAATTATCATATATGGTAGATTACAAGTTGGGTGGATTCCCATAATTGTTTTGAATCTTGTATTAGAAATGATAATAGGAATTTGAACTCTACAACTATTACAGAGTACATCCTCCATGTGGAGTCGAAATGTCTTGTAATATGTCAAAGTCTGTGTATTTGTCTATTTCGTATGTTTCATTATATATTTGCTAAGGCATTTTATTATCGAAGGTTAAGTGTTTAGCCTTAGTATTTTTTGTACTTTCATTCTCCTATAAATAGGATATGAACATAGAGTTGATAGTGGAGAGTCTTTACAGATTTACTATCAGTTTTGCACTTGTGTTCTTGAAAGTAATATGAGCTGGATCCAGATCTTATTTACTTCGTGTGTTCATATTACATTTGATTACTCTGATTTGTTGTTTATACTCGATTAAGCACTTCTATAATTGGTATCAGAGCAGGAATCACTCCTATGAAGATCTGGTTTTCAATTGAATCACTAGTTTTTGAGTCGTGAATTTGTCTAAAAAGTTTCCGCACTGTTCGATTCTGAAAATCATCTATGATCTACATATGTGATTTGATTATATGTTTGAATTGTGTAATCGAGTAATCGATTTTGAGGTTCTGATCAATTCATTCATCCAATTTCAAATTTCTTTAAGTTTTTCTGAAAAATCTCATCTATATGTCAATGGAAAATTTCAACATGAACACGATGACTTCATTTTCTCATCTGTTAGGATCTTCTACGAAGATTCCTATGTTGATTCCAGAATACTATGAATAGTGGGCTGATCGAATGCATGATTATTTGAATGGATTGGACGAGGAACTCTGGAGCTGCATTACAGGAATAGCTAAACCTCCATCAAATGTTCATACGATTGGATCATCTAGATCAACACTTGTTGTTACTGAACAATCCACTGGGCTGAAGAACAATGAAAAACGTTGTTTGAGAGAATTGTGAGGTGCATTACCACATGTAGTTTACAATTACGTTTGTGGTTGTAAAACTAAAAAGGAAATATGGAACACTCTTAAGGAAAAATATCAGGGAAGTGAGAAAACAAAGATGAAATCTGTTATGCAGTGTCTTGTGGAGCTGAAAGAGTTCAGCCTAAAAGAGAATGAAACGATTGAAGTTTACTATGATCGTCTTAATGAACTGATATATATATGCAATCGTTATGGAATAACGAGGTCATCTATGGAGTTCAATCTCACTTTTGTGATGAGACTTCGTAAGGAATAGAGGAGTGTTAGCATGATGGTGAAGAATCAACAAAGCTTCAATACTTCATCTCTGAATGATTTGTATAATCAGTTGAAGACTCACGAAAGTGAAGTGAATGAGATGGCTGAAGAGTCAAAACTTAGCTTGGGAGGTCCTTTAGCTCTTGTTTCGAAAATGTATGAGAAAGAAGCAATTCAGAAGGTTGATTTTGACGAAGAAGGATTTATAATGAATTCTGATGATGTGGAAATTTCTTTTTACTTGAATAATCGAGTTCAAATTTTTTCAAGAAACCTTTCAATCCCAAGATGAAGCAAAGTGATGTGAAAGGAAGTTTCGTCAATAAGTCTGTGGGTGAGGAGAAGAAGAATTTCGAGAAGAATGATATGAAGGCAACTGAAGCTAAAGTTGAGAAGAAACATAAAGGAGATTCGGGTATTGGCTGTCATTATTACAATGAATCAAATCATTTGGCTATTGATTGCATGCTTCGTAAGAAGGAAGAGAAAAAGAATAAAGTCAAGGACGAAGTGTACTATGTAGAGAAACTAGAAGAGGTTCGAACAAAAGCGAAGGGGGTGTCTTTAGTTGCAAGAGGCGAAAGTGAGGAGGATGGCACATATCAGATCTGGTCTTCAAGATCTAATGATAAAGAGATGAGAAATCCAACTCGTGGTGCTATGTTCACAAAATTTGAAGAGGATGAGGACGAAAAGGTGACATGTCGTTGTTTTGTGAACAAATCTGGTGACAAATCACCGATTACAACAAAGGTACGTTCTATTCTTCAATCTTTTAACATTCCTTTACAAGCTTATGATTCTGAAATAATTGTTTTCGATGATATTGTTGCTTATTTCGATTCTATTGTTGTCTCTGCTAGTAACGAAGCTAAGAAACTTAGTACATTGTTATTAGAGGTGCAAAATTTGTTGGATTCGAAAAGGAGTAGAGTAGACTATTTGGAATTACAATTGAAAAATCTTGGTTGTGATAGAGAAAATTTAGAGAGTGATGTAAAAATGCTTTTAGCACAACAAAACATTTACTGTAATTCTGCCAAAAGATTGTATGCTAAATTAACTGATTTACATCATTCTTCTGATATTAACAAAGAACAACATAGGAAGTTATTGTCTTTTCTTACTTTCAAAAGAGAGAAGATTGACAGGTTATCTTAAAATTATCCGGTGAAACATATACAAGAAGATATTAAAATTAGTCTGAATGTTGATGCTTCTTACTAAAAGGAATGACATAGCAGGAGAAAAGTGATAGAGACTATTTATGGAACTTGGGAAAGTAACTTTTCTGAGTTTCATAAGTACATTTTAGCTTTGCATGCTTCAAACCCCAATATAGTTGTGTAGTGGTTCCATAATCCAAATGGCTTGTCACTAGTGGCAACGTTCAACTATGTTTTTTGAGCTTTTAGACAAGCTATTAATGCATTTCGTTTATGTCGACCTGTTATTTATATAGATGGAACTCATTTGAAGGTCTAGTATTAGGGAAAAATGCTTATGACTATTTCAAAAGATACTAACAATCATATATTACCAGATGCATATGAAAATGTTGATGAAGAGATTGTCCATAGTTGGTGTTGGGTTTTATATCAGTTTGGATATATTGTTGCTCAAAATAGACAATTATGTGTTATTTCAGACAGACATAAGAGAATAATTCATGCAATGGAAAATCTAGAGGAATGGAAAAAGGCATTAACATATCATCGCTTATGTCTTCTACACATAAGAAGTAATACAATGAAAAGGCACAAGAACTTGAGACTTAGGAAATTGTGTTGTTCTATTGGTAGTACCATACAAAAAAGAACGTTTGTTAAATATAGGAAAGCAATAAAAGAAATCAATCTTGAAGCTTGGATGTATTTGATGCAAATTTTAAAAAAGTCATTGGTGTCTTTTATATGACGAAGATCGTTTAGTAGCTCAACCCACCTTCACTGCCTCATGTTCAGCTTCTTTTGATTTAGAATGTGTTGGAGGCTTTTGTGGTCCGTGAAGATGGTGCACTTTATACCATATATGCAGTGCTTCCAAATCTTTAGGGTGAAGACCACGACTCCCAGCTCGAGATTATGGGTGGTGTAATTTACTTCATGTGTCTTCAATTGCCTAGACGTGTAAGCTATCACTTTTCCATGTTGCATAAGAACACATCCTAACCCTTGATTTGAAGCGTCGTAATATACTACGAAGTCTTCGGTTCCCTCTCGTAAAGATAGCATTGGAGCACTATAGAGGGCTCGCTTCAATGTTTGGAAAGCAGCTTCTTGTTTGTCCATCTAGTTGAAGGGTACTCCTTTTTGGGTTAGAGTGGTGAGGGTCTTGGCTATCTTGGAGAAGTTCTGGATAAAACTTCGGTAGTAGCCTGCAAGACCAAAGAATTGTCGGATTTCTGTTGGTGTTTTCGGAATTGTCCAGCCTTCGATAGCCTTGATCTTGGAGGGATCCACATTAATTCCTTCCTCACTGACTACATGGCCCAAGAAGTTTACACTACGAATCCAGAACTCGCATTTGGAGAGTTTTGCATATAGCTTTTCGGCTCTCAGAGTTTACAAGATCTAACGGAGGTGCTGACCGTGCTCCTCCTTACTTCAGGGGTATATAAGTATATCATCAATGAATACGATTACAAAATTATCGAGGAATAGGCGGCAGAATCGATTCATGAGGTCCATAAATGTTGTAGGGGCATTTGTCTGACCCAAGGGCATAACAACGAATTTGTAATGGCTGTATCGAGTTCAGAAAGCAGTTTTTGGAATATCTTCTTCCCGGACTCGGAGTTGATGATAACCATATCTTAGATCTATTTCAGAGAAATAAATAGATCCTTGAAGCTGGTCGAATAGATCATCAATTCGTGGAAGTGGGTATCGGTTTTTGATGGTGAGTTTGTTCAACTCCTGATAGTCGATGCACATTCTGAATGATCTGTCCTTCTTCTTGACAAAAAAGACCGGAGCTCCCCAGGGCAAGAAGCTTGGCCTGATGAATCCTTTGTTCAAAAGTTCGGTTGATTGACTACATAACTCATGCATTTCGACGGGGGCTAACCTGTAGGGTGATTTGGCAAATGATGTGGCTCCTGGTATTGGGTTAATTCCAAATTTAACCAGGTGATTTGGCAGATGATGTGGCTCCCGGTATTGGGTTAACTCAAAATTCAACCTGTCTTTCTGGGGGTATTCCTGGAATGTCTTCAGGAAACACATCTGGAAAGTCACATGCCACTCGGATATCTTTGTTGTTTATTTACTCTTTTTTCTTATCCACAACGTGAGCGAGGAAGGCTTGTACAAGCATTTTTGCACCTTGATGTACGAGATAAGATGGAGATTGGCTCCAAGTTTATCACCTTAGATTATTAGGGTTTCGTGGTTGGGGAGGTGAAGGTAAATGACCTTCTCATGGCACATAATATCAACATGGTGGGGGCTTAACAAACCAATACCGATTACCACATCAAAACTCCTAATATTTACTAGCATTAAATCTATTATAAATAAATGGTTGTTTAATGTTAATGTGCACCCTTCATAAACGTCTTTGGTTATATCAGTTTTCCCATTAACCATCTCCACCGTGAAGGGTTCGTTTAGCTTCTGGGGTTGTTGGTTTAGTAAGTGCTTGAATTTATTACTCACAAAACTCCACTCAGCTCTACTGTCAAATAAAATGCACGTGTAAGTGTTGTTGAGGAGAAACATACTGTGACAACGGTCGTGTCTTGAATCGCCTCTCCTTTTCCTAACGTTAGGATCCTACCCGATCCTCCTGTTCCATGAGTGTTGGCTTGGGGTAGTTTCTTCTAATATGGCCAATTCCTCCACATCCATAGCAAGTATAATTGGCCCCGACATTATTGTAGTTGTTGCTGTAGGGCTGTTGGTTCGGTTAGGATTAGGATCTGCAGTTCCGAGCGGTATGCCCTTTGTGGTTGCAGTTGGTACACTGCATTTCTTTGCACTCGCTATTGTGGTGGTCGTTGTATTTGTTACATTTTGGTAAGGTTCCAGCGTAATACCTTGTAGTAGTTTGTGCAATGATGCAGGCGCAGCTGGTGTTGGTGCAACTTGAGCGGTAGCAGTGTAGACTGTTATGGTTTGTTGCTTTTTAGAGGATCCCTGGTTCCGTCGCCCCTTTTTTTGTTGTCCCCATTTTTCTTGTTATTCCCTTCCTTCTTGGTCTGAGCCTCACTGTTTTGACTCCTTTCTTGTTGTCATGGTCGTAAAGCTTCTGAGCTAGCCTTTTCTCACTATCAAAAGTCTCATGGGTTCCTGCAATCACGTTTTCTTGGATTGGGGAAGTTAATCCCCAAATTAACCGCTCGATCTTCTTACCTTCTGATGTGATCATACCCGGGTACAGAAGGGCTAGTTCAATGAACCTTGAGATGTAAGCCTCGATATCTGAGTTTTGTACTGTGAAGTTCCATAACTCGTGTTCCAATTTTTGTATCTCCCCATGTGGAAAATACTCTGCCATCAACATTTCCTTGAGCTCCTCCCATGGCATTGCATTTGACATTGGAAGTATCTTACCTGCACATGATCATTCCACCACGAAAGCGCTCGGTCGACAAACATGCAAGCTAAGAATTTAACCTTGCATTTTTCAGGAAATTCGCAGATCTTAAAGACTGACTCGATCTTTTCCATCCATCGCTTTAAAGTTATCATGTGTCCGATTCCATTGAATGTTTTTGGTTTGGCATTTGAAAAGTCTTTGTAGGTGCAGAATTTTGTAGGACCGTGGTTCATTACTTTGTTCGAGCTTCCAGTTCCTTGACCATTACTGCCACCATTGTTTCCATTATGAATATGTGCCAATGCTGTGGTGAAAGCAGTCAATACTGCTTCCTGGAATGCAGTAGAGTCTACCTTCGTCAGAGGCGGTGGTGATGGTGGTGCCATGTTGTTTCCGTGATTCGGTCTTTGAGGCATCTTCTGTCATATAATAGAAAGATGTGAGTACATAGTTGTTCATGGTTTCGAGTTCCTTTAGTATACAACGGTTCTGGTGGTTTGGTTGTGTATAAGTGAATTCATACAATACTACAAAATAATAAGGATATAACTCATAGCAGATAACATCACAAATAAAACACACATTTGTTTCATTACTAATAAAGGTTTAGTACATGTTTTCGTGAAAATTTGGCCTTTATAAGACCTACATTACATGAGACAATAGTTAAACATCCTAACAACCCCCTCAAGTAGTGTAATCACTTAATCAAGGGGTTAACCCTACATACAATAGTAACTGAAAAGAGAGTCCTATCGATAGTGACGGTGATAATCAAATGTCGAGCTGACGCACCAGAAGTTCGGCCAATTCGTTCTCCTCCTGAGTAATCACATCTTCCATCTGCCTTGCTCGAACGACCCTAGCTTCTTACGCAAAGAGTTGTTGCTTGAGGTTGGCTACTTCTTTCTCGAGAGAGCGCATACGGTCAATAGTGCTCTCCTACGCCTTGTGCTGGTCTGGTGGGGTCTCCGAAGGGTAGGGTTCATTAGGCGTTTCCTTAATGTCTTCTCCTTTATCTGACTCCTCTTCAGATTCACCATCCTCATATTCCATTACCATATACTCTTCGGGTCTCGCTTCTAGATTTTCTTCTTGAACCATTTCTGGTTCTCCTTCAATCCATCAATTGGCCACTATGGTCTGGTAGTAGAGGTTGCCTTGTTGATTTTCAGCCATGCTGCCTGTGCGAACATGGAGGCTTGAGAAACGTGTAAAAAGTGTATGTGCGAAGAGGATATGTTATCTAGAAATACTTGTATAGTATTTTAATTGTTTATGTTTGTTTTATCAATCCTTTGGGTATTAGGTTGACAAGTTTCAAATTCTTTGTCCACCATGATCACTCCCAAACACAAGTTAGTCGTATTTTGAATAAATATAGTTGATCAGGCTATATTTACCCCCAATAAGACTACATAACTGCCAGGGTTTAACCGCGATGTTCAACTCCTCTAAAGACTATTATTGTTTCTTTATTGTGACAATACTCTAATATACACACATAGGTTTGTATTTTATTTTTGTTCAGAGTATTTTAGTCCCAATATATTTATAGTTGCATATCATGTATGATTAGATATGACAGTTCACTATAAACCTGGCTCTGATACCAATCTGCCACACCCCCGAACCGGAACGGCGGAAACGTCCGGAGGCGGATGACATCATTGTGTAGTATCGTCACAATTGTATATAAATGAAACACAAAAATCCACACATCATACATTGAGATATCAAACTTACATTGTTTTACATAGTATATTTCTTCACATATTACAACAAAAGTGACATTAGTAAGAAATTCCAAAATGCAGCAAAATATCCAGTATCCGAGGCTATTATAGAGTTCCTGAGAATAAAAACAATTTTCAAAAGCGTCAACATATAAAATATTGGTGAGTTCATAAGCATGTTTGTATGAAAACTTTGTATTACTTTGCAAACACCAATCCAATATTTCCTGTAAAAGTGATTTGTAAGTTTTGTTTCAAATCTTGTACTATAGCATGTGTGTTTTGTGTTGGACAATGTATGAAAAGAGAGTGTTCCAGAAAATCCTATATTTTCTGTTGTTTGAAAACTGTAGTGTGTATTATGTAGTTTCTAGAAAACCCAATGTTCTCTGTTGGTAAAAACGTTGTAGCCTTAAAAACCACAAGACCCGAGTAATGTAGTAAATGTATAGTTTGTAAAATGTATCAAGAGTATAGTATACGTATTCTGTAAGTTTATTGTGTTGTTAATCTCTACGGGAGTCGTTATAACCATGCTTGATATAACTGTTATGCATGTCTTGACATGTTTCAGGCGTCGCTTGATCTAAGTAAGATATTTGTCACCCTAGATTGGTCTGGTCTAGCTGTAGCAAACTGCTCAGGTGTGGGGGTGTCAACCCTGAATAGATCTATACAAAACTCTCGGTCTCCTTTCACGAGACTCTGGTTATAACTATAGGAATTACCGTGTACACTAGATAGGTACAAATGAATGAAATGTCTCACAAGAGCCTTAACCAAACTTACACGAACAGAGTATCACACTATTTAATATTTAAAGAAAATGCTTCGAGTATGTAATTGATTACAAAACATTAGTGATAAAATACAATTTGTTTTTCTCGAAATGTCAAGTATTTATTTGTTGTAAGCCTAGTTAGCATAAAGTGTGTCGTAAGGCCCATTAAACATGTAGTGAGTGTAACCGGCCCAATTAGGGTAAAATATTGTAAGAAGTCCATTTGTAAATAAAAATGAACGTTTTAGTCCGATTAGTGCTAAAATGACATTTTAGGCCCATTTTAGTTAAAATGACATTATTGGCCCATTTTAAATGAAATTTGTCATACTTGGTCCATTCTACAAAAAATGACCATTTTAGTCCTAAAATACCAAAAATTGACATAAAAGGTCCATTTTCATGAAAATAACCATTTTAATCTCTTTAAAACTGAAAGTGACATAAAAGACCCATTTTAGTCAAAAATGATCATTTTAGCTAATTTTTCACTTATTTGACAAATAAGGTCCTTTTGTTGTATTTCTTTTAGTTTCATGATAAATTTGTAAACATGTTTATCATGTCTAACTATTTTGTGAAGTTACATAATATAACTTATTTTACAACCACTTCAAAAACATGATGAAATCTCGAGTTCATGGAAGTTTATTAAGAGATCATAGCATTACATACACAATAGCTTGAAAAATATACACATGCAACATAAATACTATGATCAAACACAAAACTAAGCTTGTATCATAACAAAATCTACACAAATAGTTTTATATACAACAAAAACACAAAAAAAATCCCTAATGATCAATTAAAATAGCAACTTAATACCCTAACATACACACATAAAAACATACACATACATTATCTCTCTCTTTCTCTCTCTCTCTCTCTATATATATATATATATATATATATATATATCTTTACTATCTTATAAAGGAAATCTAAATATTTCCAAAACTAAATTGATTATAATAATAATATTTTTTTAAGACGTTCAAGTCTCGATGCATAAGGTACAACAATTTGTAAATATAATAATATTATTATTTTAAGTTTGTCAAAAGTTATTTAAGTTGTACAAAACGTTAATCATTAGTTACATCTATTAAGTGCATAGATACCCGACTTTTGACCCAGCACCATCTTTGATCGAAGTTATTGTTGAATCCTAAGATTTCGGAATATTTCTGTCGATCCATCCCATTAAATGTTTTCCTATTCATTTGAATCCTTAGAAAACATACCTTGAAACCCCTAGCGATAGACGACTCCTATTCCCGTTGCACGTTCTCCACCATCGACCACTTCCAACATCGCCACCTGCACTGCTAAAACAATCGCACCTTCACCTTGACTACACGACCTTTACCACACATCACCATTGTCTACCTCATCGTCTCCCATTTTCTCTTCACCCATCTCTGGCTATAAAACCCTAAACATGATGTTTACCACCATACATCGCCGTCTCTACCACCATTATCTATTTTATTGATACCAACTCTTTGTAATTTATGTTTTTATTGGATTTTTAGGAATCTAATGAAGTTGAAACGGCCACCACGACTGTTTGTTCCGGTCGCCGCCCTCCAGGTAAGACTCTCTCTCTCTCTCTCTCTGAGTGATATTTTATCCTCTTTCTCTTAATGAAATCCTAGCTTTAACTATCATTTATAGCCATCTTTGCTCACCTCAAACGCTTCACTGTGCATCATCGATTTCACTTTTTGATTTTTAGGTTCTTGTGGCTCCTCTTATTCTGGTTTTTATTGGATTTTATAAATTAACCAGATTTTCTTTGTGAAATTCATTGTAGGGGTTTTTATTTGAGGCACGTATTTGTCCTATTCATGGTTACGTCTTCAACCACCCAACACCGTGGTCTCCACCACCAGGAAGAGATGGAAACCTATGAGGATCGAAATCGGAGGAATGGTTGGATTAAGTAGACGATTTTGTGAAGGAATTTCATCGAGACATGGCATATATTCATTGCTTTTCTCCTAATGTTGAATCTTGTGTTTCAGATCTCATACCCCAAATCATTAATATGCTAAACCATATATCTTCTTATTGTTCATTGAAGTGACTGAAAAAAATTATATGAAATGAAAGTACTTTGCCATTTATTATACTTCCCATTTCTTATCGATGTTTTCATTTATCACAGACCCTTGGTAATGGACGTGCCTACAGAGTTGAAGGTGATGCATACTTTTCAGTTGATTGGTTTCCTGAATAGTGATGACTTTCAAGGCATAACTTGGAAAATAATCATGACTGCGAACAAGTGGCAATTAACTCCAGGAAAGATATCCAACTAATTTTGCTCTGTGGAAAGTAAGTTCCTAATTTGTTGCTTAAAGCTAATGGTAGTTGGGTAATTTTACATATATCATAGTAATCAGTTCTTTTATGTCAACATGCTTCATGATTTGTCCCGATCATTATATTAGTGATTGTAATAGAATGTACAGTTCAAGGATTATGGTAGAATTGGAATTTGATATTCCATTCCATAGGTCGATGCCACTTGATTTTGGAACCGTAGAATAGTCCGTTCAGGTACTTCTTACATTTTTTTCGTACTTGCTATTGATGTTTAACTCCTTTGTTTCCCAGTCAACGTTGTTGCTAATTTGAGTTCCTTTTAACTGTTCTGGTTGGCATATTATGTTGCAGCCAAGACTAGAATTAACTCATTCGTTTTGAAAGCCTTTTATTCAATTTATTTATTTATTTATTTTTAACTTGGGTGTGATATGGTTTTAGCAGCCTACTGATGTTAAGCTTTTGAATACCGTTTTTTTGGAATGAGGTATAAACAATTAAACCTTTTTCACATTCACTTTTAAGATAATGGTTTTCTTTTGTAAAATTCTCATCTTTATCACCATAAGCATACTCTAGCCATGTAAATTTGTATTATAATTTCATAGTAATATTTTTATGTTTCTTCTATAAATACAGATGATTATGTTGAGACATCCGACTGTTAATATTCTTATACAATGTATTTGACATAATGGTGATTGCTACTCTTCAAAATCAAATAAAAGATGTGTATATGTGCGTGTGTGTGAAAGGAAAGGACCCATGAACTTTGAGGTATTTTTAAAGCGAATAATTCTTGGATGTATTTTTTCCACCTCCAAATTTAGTAGTAGAAAAAGGTTGTAACAGGCCTAGGAGAACAACGGATGATTACTATACTTGTAGATGTATTTAAAAGTAAGCTTATTAATTTTTCATATCACTCCATTTGAATTGTTTACTTATAAACATTCGTGTTGAATAGATATATATGGTTTAGATCTAATTAAATGATTTAAAAGGAGCAAATCGAAGCTTTGAAATATGAAATTGGTCAAAAAAAAATAGCATCATATCTGTTTTCAGTAACCATGTCAAGAATGAAACCAAATTGTTGAGAAACGGGTATAAGTTGCGGGTAATAAATGTGTGTGGTACACCATTGGTCATTTGGTCCTTCGTTTGTATCTCATATTTACCGTATTTTATTTGTTTATTATTTAGTTTAATTTTAATAATAGTTGTTTTCTAAAAAATTCAAAACCCCTGCA